GAAGTTTTAGAGAACTGGCTCGAGACATTCCTTGATTCTAGTAAATTAAATATATTGGCTGGTGATTTTAATATTAATTGGCGTGACAACCATAATTCCAATCATTTAAAGCGTTTAGCTGAGTTTTTTTTAATTTAAAGCAAACGGTAAATGAATATACGCGTATTTCCAGGCACAGTAGAACTTTAGTTGACCACGTTTATTCCAATTTTGATTCCATTTGTTCAGTTAAGGATACTGATTTGAAAATATCCTATCATGAGACTTTAGTGATTGATGTCTTAGACCATGTTAACGATAACGATAATTTTGTAAAATTGAAGTGCTGGAGGAAATATTCGAAGCAAACTGTTTCGTATCTTGTTGAGAGGAGCGTGGATTATTCATTCGCGGCTGGTAACTTAGATGAATCTACAGCTGCTCTTAATAACGCTTTGAAAACGTGTACCAATCAACTAGTTGAGCAAAAGTTTGTTTCTTTGAAAAACTCGAACAGCTGGTGCAATTTGAATCTTTTGCGTCTTAAACGGAAAAGGGACAAATCGTACAAAAAGTTTTGTAGATCTTATAATGACAATCATTGGACTAGGTACACAATCGCGTGGAATAATTTTTCACAATCGATAAAGAAAACTCGTCGTGAATATGTTCAAAGGAAGATTGATCAGCATCAAAACAACAGCAAAGAGTTATGGAAAATTTTGAAATCTTTATTAAAACCTAGTACTTGCAAACCGCGGTCCATGACTTTTAATGGCACATTAGAACAGTCAGAACAAGTAATTGCAGCTAAGTTTAATGATTATTTCGTAGACAGTGTTTCATTGATTAATCAATCTATTGAATTGGTCGATGAACCTGACGAAATAAAACAGCCAGTTAATAGTAGTTGCAGATTTGAAGTTTTTCACCCAATCAAATTAGATGAACTTAGAATTACTTGTTTTTCATTAGGAAAATCGGCTGGAGTAGATAATGTTAATGCTAGAGTTATTCAAGATTGCTTTCATGTAATTGGCCACATCTTTCTGGACCTTATTAATAAATCATTGCCGAATGGACATGTGCCACAAATTTGGAAGGAATCCTTAGTGGTTCCTATTCAAAAAGTTGCTGGAACGATTAAAGCCGAAGAGTTTCGTCCCATCCACATGTTGCACACATTAGAGAAAATCTTAGAACTTGTTGTTAAAGACCAGCTGTTGGAGTATTTGAATAGCAACTCTTTGTTGATACCAGAACAATCGGGATATCGGGAAGGCCATTCTTGTGAAACTGCATTGAATTTGGTGTTGGCAAAGTGGAAAAACAACTTGGAGCGTAAAGATACGATTGTTGCTGTTTTTTTGATCTGAAACGCGCTTTTGAAACAATTTCTAGGCCCTTATTGTTAAGTACAATCAAGCGCTTTGGAATCACGAGTACTGCATGGTTTTGAGCTATTTGTCTGACAGAACTCAACGGACTGTTTTTAATGATTCTGTTTCCAGTCCCGTGGGGAACAACCTTGGAGTGCCCCAGGGAAGTGTATTAGGGCCCCTTTTATTTATTATGTATATTAATTACTTGCGACGTGTTTTACGGTTTTGCGACATTAATCTTTTTGCAGATGATAGTGTGTTATTCATTGCAGCTAAGGATTAAGAAGTTGCCGTCTCACACTTGAATGAAGATTTGCAGTATCTAAGAAGATGGTTGAAGTGTAAGCAATTAAAATTGAATACAAGTAAAACTAAATTTATGGTGATTTCGCGAAATGAGAACGTCTCTGTTGTAATTGATGATGAGACTATTGATCGCGTTCAGGAGATTAAATATCTTGGCGTGATTATTGATGACAAACTTAAGTTCAACTCTCACATTGACAATGTCATCAAGAAAATTGCCAAGAAGTATGGAATTCTATGTCGATTGAAAAACGATTTAACTATTGCCAGTAAAATACAGCTATACAAATCAATCATCTCTCCTCATCTAGACTTTTGCCCTTCCTCTTTATTTCTGGCCAATGAAACACAAATATTGAGATTACAGCGCTTGCAGAATAAAATAATGCGTTTGATTTTGAGATGTAATAGATTCACTTCCTCAACTTTGATGATACACGCCTTAATGGTTGTCGGTCAAGCAAAGAATTGTATATTTGACTATGGTGTTCATTTTTAAAGTAGTTAACGGTTTGCTGCCTCGATATTTGTGTGATCGAATTGAAAGAGGAAGTGACTATCATAGATATAATACTAGAAACGCGGATGAAATAAGAACACCAAATTTCTTGACTTGTGCTTCACAGAATTCATTATTTTTTAAAGGAATAAATGTTTTCAATTCGATGCCTAGACACATTAAACGTGCAACAACATTAGCAGAATTTAAGAGACATTGCATTTCACACGTTAAAACTGTTTTTTGAACGGTTATCCAGTGATGTTTTTGAGAATTGACAAATTATGTATCTTGACGAAGTTATTTTTAACGGATTATTTTGTATGGATAGCTGTTATAACGACTTTTTAATAATTATTGTAGCACTGCAAAAACTATTTTGTTCGCCACGATGGTGATGATGGATTTTTGATAATTGATTTAATAGTAGTAGTAAAACAAAATAGTAGTCTACAAAGGTTTGAGCCTCGCGCGCGTATTACGGATATAGAGGACTGAATTTAACATTTGATAAAAAAAAAATGCAATTTTGAAGCTTATTTGGAAGATACCTTGAGTTAGTAGTAAGTTTTCTGGAAAATGTTGGGGGTTCGTGAGCATTCCTGACCTTGCTAAAAATTATGATAGCATCAGATTGCGGGGTTACTAGTGTAATAGGATGCTTTGTTGATTGTTCATTAACTCTTGATTGCTTGTAATATTACAAGCAATAGTATTAGTATTTACTTATGAATATTTTAGGTGGACAAAAAGGCGAACTAAGAGGTGGACGCCTGAGCTTATCCAAATTTATATCGCTGTGAAGCAACTGTAAACTCTAGAGACAATTTATATATGTAACTGAAACCAGTTCGATTTTGTTTGCCAACCTGGTTAAAATGTCATATTTAATTATCTTAAAGATAAATCGTCCAGCTCAAACCTTTGTAGGGGTGAGAGGTGAGACCATCATCATTTAGAAACCATTGAAAAAGTTTAGATCCTAGATAACAGAAGTATACATAATTTGAGTTTCTTTGAATGGACAGATTCTGCAATGTGGTCGTCGGAAGGATTTAATTTTTTTTATAACTATCATGTTTGTTTAATTCTGGTAGATCTTGCTTTTACATTACAGTCCACTGAAAGAACTGCCATTACATTTGTTGTACGAAAACCTGCAGAGGATGTAAAAAATCTACCCTTCCCTTTGATGTTCATGCCATTTGTGTAATATCCTTAAAAATCTGTTGTCTTGACATATTTTGGGGGTCCAATATTTGTGGATTTTTTTTCAAGATTTTGGACTTTGAGATTGGACAAGTTTTGGGGCTTGAAGATATTTTGACATTTTGGGGCCTAAGCATTTTGTGGGGTTATAAATTTGGAAAACAAGTAATCCACTGGTCATATAAAAAATGATGTCCCGGAAATTGTTGATTTTTCAATTAAGTGGGGCATAAAAAGTTTACGACTATCTGAGATGACGGTTTAAAGAAAAGGTTTCTGACGCTTCATTATTTTAGAAAATTCAACCCGAACAATGCATAAGATCCTAAGTAACATTGATCGATGCTCTTTTACGACTTTCTCCTTTGTTAATTTTGGCTACGAAACCGATTCTTGTCATGTTTGCCGTATTAGATGCTAGATAATAGTTTTTTTTTATTTAACTGTGCATTGTAAAAACCGGAATTTTCTTTACGTGCAAAGAGAAAATCAATTCAGGGAATCTGTTAATGTTGCTTAGTAGTTTTTCCTTTTTTTTAACTTGATTTATGATACTTTGGAAAAATTTGAAGATTTAAAATTTGGCCAAATCATCTGAAACATTGATAATAATTTGAGGGCCTCAATCTGTCTTGTCAGTAAAGGCACGATATAGTCACCCAGGAAACGATGGGTTCAATTTCCGATACGGCTTAGGATTTTTTTTTGGCTGGCCATTTTTGCGTAGGGCTTAGCAGATATCGATAATATCGATATTGTCGAGTCATATTTGAGCAATAAAACCAGGCTTGCAATTGCTCATTACAGCTAAAATGCTAGTTTTCGTAATTGTGAAACTATAGGATACTAAAATGAAAATTTTTATTTGTAAGAAGCAAGAAGAGGTGGTAAAGTTTGTGTATGGCATATAAAATTTGTCATTTTGCTTTCAGAAGGTCACAACTAGCTATTTTATGACCGCTGATTGCTCGCTCATCGCGTTGTTCATCGTTACAGCTAATCGCTATTGTGACCTTCTGAAAGCTAAATTGACAGGCTTTATGTGTCACACACATTTTACCTTCTTTTCTTGCATCGTGTTAATAAGAATTATCATTGAAATGTCTCATAGCTTCATAAATCCGAAAAATAGCATTTTAGCTGTAATGAGCATTTGCAAGCTCAAGCACTCAAGACGTACACTCAATTCTATTTTAATGCGATTTTCTTTTGATAGATTTTGCCCTCATGCAGGATGAGTGCAGCATTTTAAGTACCACCATATATTTCTTTGCATTTTTTGTGAATTTTTTTAAGTGTATTTGTGAAGAACTTTTTATGCAACATATTTTCCAGTTCTAAAAATAATACTAGCTCTTGGCTTTTCAATAGATGGAAGCTTGCAAATTGCGAAGTGCACATTTACGGCTTAATGAATATATCCCAAACATGTGATTTGTGAGTAATATCTTTTAAATGTTGAAAAATGTGGAGCATGTGCACAATGCTTTTTCATTTTTTCGAGTGTCCTCAACATCTGAAGTTTGTGTACCTTTTTTAAAATTAATTAAGAACGGAAGACAGTGCAGCGCACCTACTGATTTTATTTATCATGGGGCCGTACATCTGTATACTAATGAGCTTACCCTTTGGATTGGGATGATACGCTCACGTGGTTGGTGCTGCTGTGTATGAGCTTGTGGTTGATGCTGCTGTTGCTGCTGCTGTTGAGGGTAGAATTGATGCGGCTGCTGTTGAGCCGGCTGTTGTTCCTGCTGGGGTGGATAATGGTACGGCTGCTGCTGTTGCTGTTGCGCCGGCTGCTGGTGCTGATAATCGTCACCGAGCTCAGCTGGTGGTGGCCAGGCAACACGCTTCAAACCTGAAATGATTGTAGGGAAACATATTTCTTTATTAGAATTTTCTTTGCTTGATGTCCCACTTGTCATTACTGAACACATACTGGGGTTTGCATGTTGCAATAATGAGCATTGAGTTTTAATGATACAGAGAACATAAATACATAGTAGACTACTGTACTGAATACTACTGAATCTCTTATCTTATCTCTGAATCGGAAGTACGACTCAACTTGACTTGGCAAATTGTCATCACGACTTTAACAACTTCGCTTTTTAACACATTTAACTGTTTTGGGATTGAGCTGCATCATTCACAGTTGTCATTGTCGGTGATGATTTCAGCAATTATTTTTATCTGCCTGTTGTAAGTGCAAAAACAGATGACATTTTTGGTAATTTAGTATCATAGGTGAAAAAGGTTTTAATTTAATTTATCTGATTAAATAGAATTGGTTCCTCCAGCTAATTTAATTTGGAAAACCAAAATAGCTTTTATGTTTTAATTAGTTGGCTTGTAGACAACGTAGTGCCCGTCGAAGCGAGTTTTCCATGTCGGGCAACATTTTTCTTGTCGCGGAACATTTTATCACAGTTTTCCACATAGAAAAACTGAAGATTTTTATCACACCAAAGAGGATGCCCTTCAACCACGTCGAAAATATTATGTACTTTTGACTAACAAAAAAAAAAATGGCTTTCGGGCAGTGAATGTATTGAAATTTGATGGGATTGCGAACATCGATGTTAATATACATCTCATATTTGTGTGATTTTCGTTGGTTACATTATTACATTCGAATTATGAAGCGTTCTAGGATTTTGCGCTTGGGCGGTTGAAATATTTTTTGCTGTGCACTTCATCCACCACAAGGTCTGTGATCTGTGGTCGTCGCTTCTGCGTTTGGTTGAATAGGTGCGTTTCACACAGAGATTGGGCAGTTATTATAATCAATAATCTGATCTTGAGTGTCCCTTTTTGATTATGCAAGATTTCTTTCGAAAAGCCTTCGAGGCAATACGAAAAAAAAATTATAAACATTATTTTGATGTGGATCAGTTTAGCCGTATAGAGCCGTTTTTGTAAAATAATGGGCATAGTAACGCTGGTAGATCACCTTTTCTTACGCCTTGTTGGTAGTGACAAGACTCTGCTTTGTCCACCTAGGATGATCTTGAATCAAGGACAAATGAGTTCGTTAGCCTTCATCAATGTGATTCCTAATCTTCTATTCGTTGTTCTCTAGTTTTAAGTTGTTAAGACTAGAGATCTGGTGTGAGGTCAATTTTGGTGACATTGTTGGATTTTGTTGTTAAGAAATTCGATTTTAACTGACAAAGTTGCGACCCTTTGGAGGGAGTTTAAATTCTTCGAAGGGTACAAATAGCAGAACCAATCAATTAGAATTTGATCCTTGCCATTCTGGAATCCAAGATGGTGACTTTTTTAGTTTTCTACAATTCATAATGACTTCCAATTACAAACAATCTGTTAAATACCTATCAATATGGGTATTTTTTAACGGGGACGATGTGCAGAGGCTGATACCTTTCGAATAATACAAAATGGCGACTTCCAGTTTTCTGGAATTCATAATGACTTCCGGGTATAAAAAATCTGTTAAGTACCCATCAATATGGGTATTTTTTAACCAATAATCTATCTTAGATACCTTCTCATCAATCCAAAACGGCTCTGAAGTAATGTTAAATACCCTGAAAATTGGATGTTTTTGAGACTGGGATGACGTGAAGAGGTCGGAAATCGTTGTATGACTCCATTTTGAAATCCAAGATAGCAGTTCTATCAAAATTGGATTAGATTGAAAGTTTGGATGTGATAATTTAATCATTTTTTCAATCATTGAAACTTGTGGAAAACTAAGAAGACTAAATGTATGTGTTCATAAAAACGGAACCATTCTTCACATAGTGTAAATCGGCTATCTTTCTTAGGATGAGATAAAACGTAATGGTATTCAGTTGGTACAAGCACGTTAAGGGGGTAGTCCACTCTGGCGGCATGAAAAATAGGTCATTTCCACGATTTTTTTTGAGGGTAAATAACGATCAATTCAAAAAAAAAAGAATACATGTTTTTGTCAATTGAAATGTCCTCTTTAATTGAGATTTTTTTTTGCGCGATTGGATGTCTCCTGTAGCCGCTGCACCAGGTTCCCTAGGAGACTTCCCGTCTGAGTCGTCGCGGGGTGGGACGTCTGGCGGTCACACCACTGGAGCTGGAACAACGAATTTTTTTTGTGGTTATTCTCTGATAGATGACCCAGTCTTGTACGTAGCCGTTTTTGATTTGATTGAAAAATAAAAATTTGGCGACGTTTTGAAAAAAAAAAACAGTCCGTTTTTGTACCCGAAAATTGGAGATAAAATCGAAATTGGCTACGTACAAGACAAGAAAAAAAGGTTCTTAACTCGAAAATTCAATCGCCGCTTAAATCGAATGAGCTGTTTCTAAAATACAGCGCCCCCCAATTTTGAAAACATCGTTTAGAGATAATCGCGGCAGTAGTTGGAACTACTAAGACACGCCGTTTCGCCGGTAACGGGCGGGTACTCCGAGCGCTCACCTGAGCGCGCTTGGAGCGTCTGGACACGAGTCCACTAATCGGCCTATAACTTTGAAACGATGTAATTTGCGGACTTGCGGTCAAGTCTATGTCAAAGAAGACATTCCAAAGTATTTTTGAAGCCAAAAAAAAAAGATTTTTTGAAATTTCCAGAGTGGACTACTCTCTTAAGGAATTAATATTTGAGTTAGAAGAAAAGTTTTTTCATCGGAACTACATATCAAATGCTCCTCAAGGGCAATAATTATCGTCGCCGTCGGGACTGAAAAATAGTAACAGCAGGTTGAACGGGAGCTTGATCGTAATTATTATTTTCGAAAATCGGATTTTATCTTAATATGAGATAAAGCGTACTGAAATTTGGTTGGAGGAACGAGTACGCAAAATAAACAATATTCGAGTTTTACGAAAGTTATGTTGATCGGAATTCATATCTAATCCTTCTGAAGAGCAGTTGTTGTTGTTGTTGTTGTCTCGTCGACAGAATCGAAATCTAATAACAGCAAGTTGAACGGGAGCGAGATCGTAATTGTTTTGAGACAAAAGGAGCTTGGTGGCCTTGTAGCGATCGATTTTGAATACTGTACAGAAAATCTTTGGTCCTTGAGATTGTCAGATTATAGAGTAATAGTTTAGATTGGTTTTTTCTTTAAAATGAGATAAAGCGTATTGAAATTCGGTTGGAGGAACGAGTACGTAAAAAAACAATAATCGAGTTTTAGGAAAATCCTGTTGATCAGAAATCTATAACAAATCCCTATCATGAGTTGTTGTTATCGTCACCATCTCGCAAAAATAAGTTGAACGGAAGCTTGATCGTAATTGTTTTGTGATATAAGGAGCTCGGCGGCCTAGTGGCGACCAATTTTGCTTAAAACCTAAGCTCATTCGCGCTATTGAATCTTTAGGACATCAGTTCAGCATATCGTTTACAAACACGAATCCTGCTGCAATCCCAACCCTTTTATCCAGCATCCCAGTGATTTCTCGTGGAAGTGAAGAGGTGTTCTCGGTTTTCATTGAAGCGAGTATTACGTCAACATTTCTTGACCAGCATTCGGACGTGGCCGGCGCTGGTATTACCTAGTTTTAGATCACCAGTATTTACACATTGAGGATAATGCTATTCTTAAGCAACGTCTATTGGTTCTCTTTGTAATTACAGCTGATCAGGCATTTTTTTTTATAACTCGTTTTTTTTTCCAGGCTCATTTGCTGTAGCTTTCCGAAGCCGATATTCATTGTTTAGATTACAAAATTACTTAAAACTAACGTTAGTAAAGTGGGGGCCGATTACTCGCGGCTATCTCGAGGTTTAGGGGTAACAAATTGTAACAAATGGATGGCAGGGTAGGGATTGTGAACACAAGGTGTGGAGAGCAATGTGCTCTTGATCTCGAACTAAGTGACACTCTGATGAAAAAGACAAACATGGGGGTACACTGATGGGCAGCTAACAACTTGGGAGAACACAAGATGACACTAACTAGTAAATCCTCAGATCTATCCGTTTTAAAAACACATAAACTAAATTAAAATAGTCGAGATTTCGGCTCGCCAAGACATCTCTAACGTATCTGACAATATCGGAGTTGCCTCCTCGAGCGGTCAGTTATACTCATGCTCTAGATCCGTTTTTGTAAAATAAATTGTTTCAATATTTTTCAATTTTCCCACGAATGATTGCAACAATTTCAATTTGGAACTGTTATGCAAATTCTGGCCTTAATAATCGTTATAGTCTAAATATCAGTACGATGGCATTTCCTTTGTTAAGTTGGGATCATTTTTTCAATGAAATGCTCCTGAAAATTATAGAACATGTTCATTCAACGGTATGGTGTTGGAACCGATTTACTACAAAAGATCGTGCAAATGGAGTATAAATAATGTATTTGAAATCTCGGCTATGCAGTCTGGCAAGTTCAGTTTTTTAACTGCCCAACCTTTCGGCTGTTTTAGGCAGCCTTGTTCAGGGGAAATGTATTCTACTGTTATCATTCTCACATTGATTTGAAATGGTTCTGGGTGTTTTTTGATTGTTATAGAATAGATTATATAAATTTAATTGATAAGTCAAATAATCAGCTACAACTTTGGTCACGACCAGTTTTGGATGAAGGTTATTATGTTCAATCAAAGTGTGTTGTTACTTCGTGCGCGAAGTTTACGATTTTCAGAGTTGCGAGGAAATGCTATACTCATATCAACATGAAGCTTTAGTGCAATAATTGTTTGAGAAAGTTCTGAAAAGGCTAGATTGATAGTTCCACTATAGTATGGCAGTGTGAAGATTGAACAGAAATTGGAATTGAGCGAAGGGCTGCGACAATATTAATCAAACGCACACTCCTTTACCAAGCTCATACATTGAACTATCAATCTTTTCTTTTCAGAACTTTCTCTAGATAATACATTATCGCACTAAAGCTTCA